GAGTTAAATTTTTATTGCTCCTTGGGATTCACACTGGCAACCAAGAAAAGATGAGACCAGGGCTTAAGCTGCTCAGCAGTGCTGTACCTGCCATTGTGAGATGAATCAATTTTGGCATTGGGCATCTTGTTGGATGACCTCCAAAACTGTTGAAAGATTAATTTTTGATAGAAAATAATTACTCTCAAAGAAGTATAAAATAAACATGTCTCAAAGATGTAACTCGCTTATTACTTTGAGAACCAGTTGTCTTATCAGTTTCTCAACTTGGTTGTCTAATAGATATCTAAATAATGTCTAAATATCCCCTCTGTACCCTTTTTTTATGATCTTACCATATCATTTAATGTTAGTTCCATTCTTCCAGTTAGTTGCTCAGGCACAAAATCTTGGAGTCAGCCTTGAGGAAGTGCCCAGTTCTTGTGGCTACTTCAGTAGCTGCCAGAGGGCTGGATATTGAAAATGTTCAACATGTTATCAATTTTGATCTTCCTTCTACCATTGATGAATATGTTCATCGAATTGGGCGTACTGGTCGTTGTGGGAATACTGGCAGAGCGATTTCTTTTTTTGATCCTGAATCAGATAGCCATGTAGCACAGCCTCTAGTGAAAGTATTGTCAGATGTAAGTCTTAAGTTTTTAAGACTGAATGGATAGTGTTTTTATCTTATTATTGAAAGTAGACATTTTATACATATGTGTAAAAAAGTAAACTTCCCCAATCTTTGAGACTTTATGTTGCATATGAAGTTAATTTTTTTTTTTAAAGGCTCAACAGGATGTTCCTGCATGGTTGGAAGAAATTGCCTTTAGTGCATATGTTCCTGGCATTGGTGGTAGTAGAAGAGGAAATGTGTTTGCATCAGTTGATACTAGAAAGGTTAGTTGTGGGGGGAAATTCAGAACTTGGTTTTCAGTTATTCTTTGTAAATGTTGTGCTTAATATTGTAAAGTAACTGTAATATTCAGTAATTTATGTAAACCATTTTTTTATGCCTAGAAGGTAGCTACTTTATTATTTCTTTAAAATTTTATGTACATATATTTTTGGTTTTAAAGATGAGGAATTAACTTTGGGATTTATGCTCAGACAAAACATTCTCCTTTCCCAAATTCGCTGGCATTTGAAATTCTAATTTGGGATCTTTTGAACTTTCCATAGAATTCTTTAATTTTGGAATTCTGACCACATTATTAAATGCTGGAGCTGAGAGGCTGCAAGTCTTTTCTGATTTGTCAGTTTTTATGGGCAGCACTACCTTTATACAGAAACAATGAGCATACTGATTAAATATTTATGCATTGAAGTGTAGCACGTTAAATTTTTCCACTTGCTAAAACTGTTAACAAATATTTTTCTTGAAATATTTTATGCAATTTAGACTTCCCAGTTTGATATAAGCCTCTTTTTTTTTTTAATAGTCTGGGCAAAGTAACTTTAAAGTTGTCATAGAATTAAATGTTTCTTTCTTTTTTCTTTTTATTTAAGAATCACCAGGGCAAGAACACTTTGAACACAGGAGGGTTTTCTTCTTCACAGGCTCCCAATCCAGTAGATGATGAGTCGTGGGATTAAAACTAAAACATCCTTCCAGTCTGTGGCACAGTTTTGATGTGAAGAAAAGAGTTTTAATTTTTTTAGTTTTTAACAGAAGTGTGAAACCTGACATTTTTGTATCTCCTGTTCTTCTGTTCTCACTCCTACCCTTTAAAAAAATCCTTTACTATGTAGTTATGTGAAATGCTTAAAGTTACTATGTTGCAGTTACTGATGCAAATGGTGTTAACTGAAAATATTAAAGCATTCTAAATGTCTTGCGTATTTCTGGTGTATTTTTCGGGGGGTTTAGACATGTTTCATGTCAAAACAAGCAATAGGATATGATACACTTCTGTAAATTATTTGGTAATTTTTGTAAAAATTATTTGGTCTCATTTTTACTTGAGCCTTAGAATTCAAACCCATTTATTAACAAAATGATGCTGTTCACTCTTGCTATAATTAATTTTTTGATTCATATTTTAAGATTGATGAGGGAAAGAACCCTGTCTGTCTTCATTTACTATTGTATATGTTGAACTTATTATGCCTAGAATATAAGAAGTTCTTACCAAGTCATTAAATGAATGGACCCAAACATTAAGACATAAAACAAGTGAGGTACACATATTGGGGAAACAAAAATGATCAGTTTTGAGTGTTATTGTTCACCTAAGCAGTGCAAAGTGACATATCCCCAATATATATTGTGTTATAGGAATTTTGTTAATAAAAAGCATCACATAATGAAAAAGGAAGGCATATTACACTGATAGTGTTAGGATGGCTGGTTAGATGCCCACACCATGCCATATTCAAAATTAATTCTATGTGAGTTATAAAAAATTAAAAGTATAAAAAAGAGTTAAACATTAAACATTTGAATTGGGGATAAGAGCTGACTTTAAGGTCTAAGGACAGAAATCACAAAGGAGACAACAGATTTGATCACAAAAGGATTAGTTGCCTATATAAAAAGAGTGAAAAAGTAGACAAGGAAAAATACTACTGTGACCACAGTGGATTATCAATGTGTAGTTCTTTATATGTGGGTATGTAGGAATACTGATAGACAAATGCACAAAGAACATAACTCAAAAAGGGGAGTTCACCTAATAAAGATAAGGGAATTACTTCACTTTTACTCTCTAATACTTCCGGGATAGGTGAGTGAAGGTGTTTGAATTGTTATTTTTCATATCTGTGTGTGTGAATTTTCTCTTTAGTTTTGTTTATGAAGAGCACTTATTCACAGGCCATTCTTGTTTCATTTTTTTTCCATTTCTTCAAAGAGCTTTCTTGGTCATAGGTGTCCTGATTGATTTTTTAAATTTTTTTGATTTTGCTTGATTTGTTAAATTACCGTAATAGCATTAGTAAGTCAAATATAAAAAAGGAAAGGAAATCTCTTGCTTTATCTACAGGTTGATTCTAAAATTGAAAATTAACAGGGGCCGGCCCGGTGGTGCACTGCTACAGTGCGCCGTTGGGAAGTGCGGCGGCGCTCCTGCCGAGGGTTCGGATCCCACATACAGACTGGCCGTTCACTGGCTGAGCAAGGTGCGGGGGCAACACCGAGGGTTGCGATCCCGTTGCTGGTCCCGGTCCGGTACGGGTGCAACACTGAGGGTTGCAATCCGTTGCCGGTCACGAAAAACAAAAAAAGGAAAAAAAAAAAAAGAAAATTAACAGTTAGTGTTTATATTATATCTATATTAAAAAATTGTTCACTGGATGGTCCAATTAATAGTCTTATTTACCTTTTCTTTACTATTTTTAACAGTTAGTGTTTATATTATATCTACATTAAAAAATTGTTCACTGGATGGTCCAATTAATAGTCTTATTTACCTTTTCTTTACTATTTTCTTAATTTAAGACATTGGTGTGGGTCTGCAGGGAGAATAATTATAAGTGTCAGCAAGAGAGACTTTATAGTTATACAACAGAATGCAAATATTAACTTTGGAAATGTAAATGTAGTTTACAGATGTGAGAATGGAAGAAGAGAAATAGAGGGAAGGAAAAGGGTGCTTTTAATATCTCACAGAGCATACTTCTGAGATAAAAAGAGGTGAGTTAATTTTCA